TCATTAGGAAAACATGTTTTAAGAAATGAAAATTGGAAAAAATAGTTTTAAAGCATCATTATTTTATTTTTGCTTTTCCCAGGAAATGTCTACATCCAATAATAATAAAAATCAGTGAGTAAATAAACAGTGAGAACATGCTCACCAAGCACCAGACTTTGAGATTTCACGGAAAAGAAATGGGGCTTACAAGGAATTACTGGAAAAATGTTCTTGTACATTTTCCTTTGAGATTTCAGCACTGCAGCCTAAGCAGAGTTTCAACCCAGGCAGATTTTGTGTGGTTTGAAAAGAAATGTCTTCTGTTGTATTTGAAAAAGAATCAAGTTATGTACTTTGCACTTCTTCTAATGTCAATTAGTCATGGTCGAATAATGCTTTGGAATAACTGGGTTCTTTTAAGTATCACTGGAAAATAACCTTTGCAGTTAGCTGAGGAATTTGTTCTGTCGTTAATATTTGCTTAAGGAGAAGCTGTGCAATTAAAGCTGGAAGCAGCAGCGAGCAGTGCTGGAGGAGGACACTGAAAGTGCTTCAGCATCGCTGCTCTCAGAGGGGAACCAAGGTTTCACAGCAAATGATGCTCCTGCACAGAGCTCTACCCGTGCCTGAACCCTGAAACACCTCTCTGGATGTTCAGAAATAATCCCAAAGGCTGGAGAGAGTGGGGAAATCTCTGCAAAGGCTGCTGGGTTTCAAAGCAGTGCAATCAGGGCAGTGAAATGTTAGTGAAATGTTATTTTGCTGTCACAGGTAATCCACAAGGGCTGAGGAATTCTGTGCCTTTCTACCATTTCATGTTTAGAAGTAGTTGATCCCTACAGTGCCATTTCAAGGAAAAAGTTGTGCTGGTTTTGCTGTATTATGCAAAGATCTGCTTAGATGTGTTTTATGTTGAGCATTCCTTTCACATCTGCTGTTTGCCACACAGAATACAGTGATGTAAATCTTAATATTTCATTTGAAATCAGCTCATTCTTACAGCTTAATCATTCTGACTTGCAGTGCTTTCAGTTCCCTCTAGCTTGGGAATATCTTCCTTGCAATCAGGTGCTTCAGGAGCCCATGTGCAGTTGCAGGTACAGCCATGCAGGACCAGATGAGTTTCAGCAATTTCTGCCTTTCCTGGTGCGATGCTTCCAGGCTGCAGCCCAGCAAAAAGTTGTATATTTTCCTTGTTTTATCACATCTGCCTAATTTGCAGTCTTTTATAACACCTAAATGTCTCTCAGCATATTAACATTGCAGATGTTGCCTCTCTTTTGGAGGGCTAAATTTTCGTTGTTTTTCACACTTCATTAATTTTGCTTTTTGAAAAAATTGAATTAATTTTTAAGCTGCTTTTGTTCACTCACATCTCACTGAAGGGTTTTGTAATCTTTCCCCTCTCCTGTTGATGCATTCTCTTATTTGAGCTGTTTTAAAGTTCCCTGCTTTCTTTTCTGAATCTTTATGAATATATTAGACTTGGAGCCAAATCAATTTATTGCTGATTTTCCAAGGTAGATCCTCTCCATACCATAATTTGCTGTTTCAGTCCATGAGTGCTCACATTCATACTCATCTTTTATTAGACCAAGGCACTCTGTTAGTTGATTTTTCCCATTAAAATAGGGTATAAATGTACTGCGTCTTCTTTTTTTCCCCATATGTCAATTAAATCTACAACTCCCTTTCCAAAAAGATTGTATTCTACCCTGTGCTGCCATCGGCCTGAGATCATTCTTTTTATGGTTGTTTAAGTATTTATCAGAAGCAGAAGTTATTTATCCAGGTCAGTAATTACTGGGCCTACCTAGACTTGAACACAGAACGGATTTTCATGCTTCCTTATCTGTGCTCCTTGAAAGTGTTTTTTTTTTTTTTTTTTTTTCAATAAAAGCTATTTTTAAAATTAAGGGAAAACAAGTCATTGACCTGGAAACTAATTACATTGCTTGAACTCAAGTTTGATTTTTGTTTGTTTTTAAGAAAAAGGAAAATTATTAGTTAAAAATACTACTTAGAAACAATTACTTGAGCAGCTGGAAATTCTGCACTGAGGTGATGGGACTGTTTCAATGTATTGATACAGAACTGAAGCTGCCCCCTGATTTCAGTGCAGTGCAAGGTGAAATTTCTGGTTGTAGTTATTTAAGTGTCTCTACAAAAGACAACCAAAATGAAGCTGAGTAATAAATTCTGTGGGATTATTGTGCAAGGAAATTGTAACAACCCCCCTAGAAGTGTGGGGGGCCCACAGGTTGTAACTTTGCCCTGCAGAAATTCCCGGTATTCCAGCATACTCTGCTATATCATGTGGCATATGGGGTACATTTAATGGCTTTGTTGCCTTTAATTTGTTCATATTTATCTGACTTGAAATAGTGCAAGTCTGATTGTGTGTTCCATATCACAGATAATGCCAAATTATTTGCTTCTAATGACACTGAGGAAATTCCTCTTCTGAATTTTTTCAAAAAAACCCCAGCACTCTGGAGCTCTTAAATTTCAAGGGAAGAAATGTATATCTAAAATGATAGAAATTGTTAACAGTGGTACACATTGAATTATCTGAACAAAAGCAGGCCAGATGTCCATCACTGTAGAATTAAGTTAAGCAGTTGAATTTATTGTCGAATCAGTCAGTTTGCTGTGTGATGTATTTGATAATTCTCCTAAGTTAATTAGTTCCAAGCAGATATTTTATGGCACTATGGCCTGGCTGTAAAGTAATGCAGCTGGGTTGTTTTCAAATGGGAGAGTTTTCTTCTGTCATTTCTCTACAGCTTTAAAAAATATCTGAGTGTTATCTGGAATAAGGCTAAGCTGGAATTTCTGTCACCCATTTAGTCCAAGGTGATTATTCCAACTTGAGAATGTCAACAATTACCCAGTACTCATGTTTAATTAGTAAAAGGGAAGCACCTGTATTTTTAGAGGAAAAGAGTTCAGGATTAGACTGTACAAATTCTGGCTGTAACAAAAGACAAAAATGAGCAGATTATTCATCCTTGGGGAAAATCAGTCACTGGATGGGCTCTGTTCACGGAAAAAATGCAACAGATAATTCCTTTTGCCTCTGGTCCCTGTGCTTTTGTACTGATGCATATCAGTAATGATGTTTACAACTGCTTGGTCTGTCCAGCAGCAAAACAAAAGAATTAGGAGCACTTCTGGTAATTAGACAGACCCGTAGCACTGTGGCTTTAATATCTTAAATTTTACACTTGACATATCACTGCCGAATGAAAAATGTGACTTTTTATTTATTTTCTTTAAATGGCTTTCTTTAAACCACCGTCTGGTTGAGGCATTAAAACAGGCAATATTGCTCTAAGAGTTTTCTTAAGACCTTTCTTTGGCTGTTAATTGCACATTTATAATTACGTTCTTACAAAAAGATAAAAGAGTTTTGAAGAATTATTCTTGGCAACAGACCTAAGGTTGAAAACCTGCTGGTTTAATGTGTAAATTATAGCGTGTGGAGTTGTGAAGAGTGGTTTTGTGAAATGCTCGAGTAAGCTCAAGAATCTAAGAGAGCTGTCAGAGAGTTTGCACTCATAAGGGACTAATGTTCATTGCAAAACAACTCATAATATGTTGTGCCTGAAGGCTAAATGAGCAGTTTAACTTAAACACAATCACCAACTTTCTGGGAGACAGATAAAGGAAACAATTGTTCCTCCAGCAAACTTAGAGAAATGAAAAAAACAGCCTCACTTTGATGCCTGTTTAAAATCATTAATTTTCCTGTAAGTTAATGTAAATTGAGGATTAAACAGAAACTGTTACCATCTGACCCTTATAAACTAAACTTCTGTGTGGTTCATCTATTTGAAGTCAAATCTATCCATACATCTAAACAGGAAACTGAATGAAAACATTTTTTCGTTTCATTTCCTATATCCTGCAAATTTTTTCAAAGCCTATTTCCTTTTAAAAGTTAGGCTTCATGCTTCTAAAGCTCTTTTTTTTTTTTTGTCCTGTGAGCATAAACTTACCCACCAGTTCCTGAGCAGAGGATTAGGAGGGGGTGATCTCTGCACACTGAACTTTATCCATCCGAAAATGTTTCTGAAGTACCATCTTTGCCGATGGTTTTGGACTATGTGAGGGATCCAGGCTCTGGGATAGGGTACAAATACTGTAATTATGATCAGTTTGATTTCACAACTAAGTGGCAAATGTTGGGGATTCAGAATTATGGCATGTCCCTACAGCTCAGGGTGATTTCCACCTTATAGGATCTGTATTTCCCTGTCTGTAGGGATATTGATCTCTAGAAATACTTTGCTTACTTTCTTACTGCAAGGATAAATGACACAGTTCTGGTGCTCAGCACTGAGGTCTGAAGATCGTTTAAAAATACTGTTTTGATTGTTTTAAGATTGTTTTGGTGTTGAAAAGGTGGTAAATACCAAACAGGATGGCTTTCATCCCTCATGTTTCAGGGATCCTGAGCACATGGTGATAGGAAACTCTTCCTCCAGTGAATGGGTTTAGCTTTTTGTATCTCTGCTTGGCAAAAGCTCATCTTAATGAGCTGACTTGTTTCATTATCAGCTGTTCCCATGTCAGAACAGCATCATTTTCTCCCTGGTCAGTTAAACCTCGCCCAGCACAGTGGATTTGAAGTCAGGTCCTTCAGTGGGATAATGGGACTGGAAAGGGCAGACCCTGACAGGGAAGGATTCACAGCCCTGACCCTTCCTCCTGGTCATGGCCCTGTCCTGCCTTCCTGGCCCTGGCAGCAGGGCTGGCTCCCAGGATGAGCTGTTTTTTCCTAGATAACAGATAGCAGCAGCTTCTGGTGTTGCACTGTCGTGTATTGAGTTTCCAGAGCTGGTGCTTGTTTCCTGCAGTCCTGAATTACCTGTGGAGCTGACACTGAGTGCTGGACGCAAACAGATGAGAGGTGTGCAGGGTTCCCAGGTGTGCAACATTCCCAGGTGTGTCCTGTTCCCAGATGTGCAGCGTTCCCAGATGTGCAGCATTCCCAGGTGTATGGGAGGGTGCAGGTGATTGCTTTACACTTTTCAGGTGTTAATCATTGTTTTTCTTCCCTCCTCACACAGCTTTAGCCTAAAAAGAAGGTTTTGAGTGGTTTTGCTTTGTCACAAAATCAATTTGAGATGATGCCTGCCCCCTCCTAAAGGTGCACCAGGATTTTCGGCTGTCCTGGTACTTTTCCTTCTGCTAATTTGGCCATGAAATATGAGCTCCCACATCTCTACCTGATTTAAATGCATCAAAGAATCCTGGATCTGCTGATTGGATACATTTTCCTTCACTAAAATGTCCCTCCCTAAACAGAAAAATACATTCAATATGGGAGGTGTTTTAGAATTTTTACTTCAATACCTGGATCAAGAACATGAAGCCCATTGCTTTTGGAAATAATTCCCATACCTGAGCAGTACTAGGCAAAGTTTTTCATTGAAGACATGGTGGTGAGAAAGATGATGAACAGCAAATTCCTGCCATTCAATGAGGGTCTGTTACAGCACATGGAGAAAGAAAATATAGAGGGGCTTCTGGTACCCTAATAATTGGCACTTGATAATATGCTTTTAGCAAGAAATATGACAAAAATTCTGCCTTAATGCATGATATGATATGAAATTAAGGTAAGATAATATAATACCACAGAGAGTGTCCATCTGCCTCCCTACATTTTTTTCCCCTGCAGTTCACTCAAATGAGTTGATAAGGACATTGGAAGCAGAGAAGCACAGAACTCTGGAATTTGCCCTTGTTTAACAAACAACATCCAAACAAGATGCTTCAGGTCACAAGTGTCACCTTCTGCAAAAACTCTGCTTCCCTTAGTTTTGCAGTTGTTTCAGGTGTAGTTGTTTCCTTGTTGTATAAAATCTGAATCTCTTGGACTGGTCTGGTGGGAGAGGACAGCAAACTTTGTCTTGTTAGAGCATGAGCCACTTGCATTGAAAGGAAAAAAGGATTATTTTAGCAACTTTCATGGTAGCAAGATAGGACTTAAATGAATTTGGCTCTGGACCGGATAATCCTCTTTTGTTGATGTTAAACCACTGGCCACAGCAGTGATTACAACATAAGAGTACAAAAGAGGCTTTATTTATAATACTTTTTCTTTCATCTTACCAATCATAAAAAAAAAATATGTCTTATTAGAAAACAAAAATTTTACTTATTTACTTGTTTGACTGCTGGGAGCCATTAAGTATTTCCTTTTTTTTTTTTTTTTAGGGGAAGTGTGTCACTTGCATTTAACTCAGATAAAAATGAAGGAAGATGAAACTCATTTAATTTTAGAACTTAATTTTTTTATTTGTTGAACAACTGTTTTAAAATGGATAGCCTGCTGCGAAAGAAACAAAGCATTTCAACAAAGCAGGAAATCAATAGCCACAAGAAAGCCTAAAGAAAATGAATGCATACAGCGAGCAAGTGCCATAGAAAGTATTTTCTGGTGTAAGAATGGTAATAATAGAATGCATATGGAGATGAATAACATCATAGAAATATACATAGAAAAGACATGTTCTCCATTTCCAGTTATAAATAATGACCTCTGTGTTCCAGTATTTAAACTTTGAAGGGTCTATATGGTGGTTTTCTTCCTGATTTCCCCACCCCTCAGTCCTAGGTAAATATTTATGCTTGCAAAATTTAGCAGGCTGGCCGCCATGGAAACGTATGTCTTTCATTTATCTCCAGGAAATCTGGTTACAAACACTCTTTTACTTCAATTCTTGCAGTCTTTTTCAGCAGTTTTTAAAACAAGCTCTTGAGTGAGGAGCAGGAGTTGTGTGAGTGATGTGAGTGGGATTCCGTGGCAGTCCCTGGCAGGGCTGGGTTTGCCCAGAGGTGGATGGTGCTGGAAGGAATTTTGGGGAGAGTCTGAAGGGAAGTCTTGTAGAGACATCAGCAGCAGGTACAACTTGTGTGCTTGGCTGTTCTATCTACTCCAGATCATACTTGAGTTCAGGAAATCGCTGAATTTGGGAATAACTCGTGCTGCTTTTCAGTAGTTTGAGCTGCTTTTTCTGTAGTTGGCTTCTTCCAGTTTTTCCTAATGGTATATGAGAGACATTTGTAAAATGACGTGGTGTTTCTCAGTGGGAAATGATCTGTGACTCTGGTGAGAAGGTTCCTTGGTGTAGCTGTCGATGGAAAAGCAGACAAGCTTTTGGTTAGAAAAGTATAGAAAAACAAGTAGTATTAGAGGCTTGTCATGAGCTGAGAATAATTATTCCCTGTATCTGTTACCCCACCTTGGGGAGAAAAGGTAAAAACCTGACTAGGGGAGCAGAGGGAATATTACTAAGAAGGGGAAGAGTGATGCTGTAATCTCTTAGGGGAGGGGATGAAACCCAGTGCTCATGTGTAATTTGGAGAGGAATGAGATACCATCGCCTGGGATCCTTATGACCCCATGGCTTTGGTACCCAGCTGAGATTACAGAGTTACAGATTCTTGCTGAAGCACCTCTCACTGTCAGCTCTGAGGCTGGCCACACTCACAGCCAAAATTCAGTGGGGTTTGCTATCACAGTCATTTAATTATCTGCTGTTACCGAGTTCCCATCAGGTAGAGTTTCTCTGTGTCTGCATACGTGTACACAAAATAGGGAAAATTTCTACATTCCTGTGGGTTAAGCCTCATGTAACTGATAACACTTACGTGGTTTTATATATTCATTTTAGTATCTTTTCAAAACATGAAGATTTTATAGACAAAATGTTAATTTCACCAGAAATTTCCTTCTACCCTTTTATTTTCTCGTGCTCCTAAAGGTTTATGTTTTGTTGTTTGAAAAAATCCTCTCCTACTGTAATTTGCAGTAGAAATAATATCTGTCTTTGGAGATAACAAATCACAAAATCTGGAAAAGCAAAGGGGAAGCAGTGGAGCTGTGTCCCTACATTACTGCCTGTCTAATTTCATGCTGGTCCAGGACCAGCAGCAAACTGGTATTTTGCAAATATATTTGCCAACAAACTGGCAAATTAGCATATTTTCTGTGTAGTGGAGTTCAGCCCTCAGATGTTCACTCCTGGACAGAATCACCTTATCATAGAGGTTCCTTCGGACTGCTGGGAACAATTCCTCCTTTCAACACCAATATAGGTGCAAAGGACTGCTTCTGTGTTCTTTCATTTATTATTCTTTAAAAGATGAATTTCTGTTTTCTACCTTTGAAGGGTCTTTGCCAAGACTGTGAAAACACCGAAATAGAAATGCAGAGATTAAAAACAGTTACGGCAGGAGTGGTTTCCCCTTGCATCAACCTGCAAATTGCTCTGACAGCGCTGCCCCACCACTGCACAATGCACCCCTGTTAGGGAATTAAGATCAGCCCCCCTGGGTTACGTGATACTCAGGGCTGTGAATATGTCAGGTCTTGCTCTTGGGTTTCTGGCCATAGATAATAGGCTTAAACACTCACATTTTTTACAACTTTCATTGAAAGGAGACTTACTGAGATACAGCTTAGTGGAAACCAGCAGTATTTCAAAACTCTTTTACTGTAATACATTCCTCTAAATTGGCATTGAATTCAGATACAGGTCAAAAATAAAGCTTGGAACAATTCAGAGACATGACGTGGGTGTTTGTAATAGATGATGATTCCTTGCTTGTAAAGTTTCTGTGCAAATATTTGTGGATGTATGTGTAAAAATCAAATAATTCTTAAAAAGAATTTGGGCTGAATTAAGTTGTATGAAAGGAGATTTATAGCTCCTCGGTGTCCTGGCATATCTTTGCATGGGGTTGGAGTGTGTACAGTGTTTCTGTCTGTGCCTTGGGCAGCATCAGCTGTTGGGATGGAGCTGTGCTGTCCCCGTGCTGATCCCAGTGCCTGCCTTGTCATCTGCTCCTGTCAGTGCTGAGCTTCCACACACAGGTGGAAAAATCCTAAAAACCTGCTCAGTGGCTTGGTTCCACCTGCTGAATAGTCAGATACTTGAAGAGATTAAAAAAAAGAAAACCAGCCAGAATGCAGATTGCATAATAACATTGGCTATAATCTGCACTGGTTCCCAGCTCTGGCTGGATCCAGAATCTGAGCAGAGCCATCCAAGCAGCTGAGCTGAGCTTTGCAAGGCTCAGAAGAAAGCTGGCCTTGTCTCTGGCACTTCCACATTTGGTTTAGGTGGACATCGTGGAGGAGCATTGTTTTGGCAACAAATCTGTAATTTGAATTTGTGGTCTGGGTGTGTTGATAGTGGCACAATTCCAGCCTGGACAGGCCCCCTCCTGCAAGGTTTGGTCTAGGCAGAGTGGGAACAATGGGAATGAAGACACAGCAGCAGGAACTTTGTCCCCCTGGCTCTGATCCATAGCTAAATGCAGTGTATTTTATCTGTGCCAGTGCACCTCCACTGCCACAGTTACTAATTTGATGCATTTCTCTTAAATTTCTGTGTGTATCCCTGCATCTGCTGGAGTCACACTTCCAATTTCCTCCCTGCCACACGGTTAAATTGAGCTGGGGCAGTGTGGAACATGGATCAGCCTCCAGCTTGTCCGCAGCCATGAATCTCCCCAGTTCAGAAATTTGGTGAGGTATCCCCCTTTTTCCTGTGGTCTTACTTGACAGGAAATAATCAAAACCAGGAATGTTGAGGTACTGTTATATCTGCAGGCACACTCATAAGTAATTAAAGAGTTATTTAAAGTTCTGAATCTCACCTAACCAAAAACCCTTTTTCGGTTTTAAATTCATTTTGTAATGCCTGATTTCAGAAGTAAGCACTCAAACTTTGTTAAGAACCACTATAGTGACAATTGAATACAAGAAGTTCAGGTAATTTTTCTGACGGTAGTTTTCTGACTAGTCCAAGTCAAGTTTTAGATGAGTACTGGATTTTCATTAATTGAGACTTTTTAGGATGAACGCAGTAATAATGTGCTACATTCCATTCTTAAAGATAACATTAATAAGTTGTAATATTCCACGGGAGTTCCAGCTCTGAGCATCTCAGTGCTGTTAAGGAGTGGGGTTTTTTTTTCCTAACAGTAACACCAGTCACAGTGACAAAGAAAGTTCAGATCTGTGATGTTTTAGAACAAACTCCCAGTGACATTTTCTCTTTGGACATTCCTGGCTGGAATTCCCTGGAGAATCAGGTGGGGATGTGGCTTTGTGAAGGCTGCCTAGAACAGAGACTAGATGGAGTTAAAGAATAAAGTAGGGATTTATTAGGAGGCCTCAATGGATCCACCTTGGGCAGCACAAGAGCCCAAACAGGGCTGCACCCAAGGTGAACCAAAATGGTCCCAAAATGCACAACTGCTCATGGGGTCTCTCACTTATATAAGTTCTGCTCCATTTGCATATTGGAGTTAATTGTCTAATTCCAGCTTTAACCCATGAAATCCCATCCTGCTTGTTTTTCTCTCTTCAGCCCACGTTGTTTGTGCTCCTGGGCCTGAGATTTGGATCATTTGTCCTCGGTCCCCAGCTGGAGAAGGAATTGTTTTGTCTCCCTGCTATGTGAGGAGAGCTCACCATCCCCTCATGTGAAGCTCAGACTAAAGCAGTGTACACACTAAAGCAGAGCATAATCTGAAAACCATAAAAACTAAAACCTGAGGCATCAGGGAGATTGTATTTTGTGTCCCTGGCAGGTGAGCTGGGCCTGTCCCTGGTGCTGGCGTGGGCACTGCCCTGAGCGTTGCCATGGGCGCCAGGTTCTCCTCATGGGCTCCAACAGCTTCATCTATGATTAATGCTAATTGCCCATTTTGCATGGATGACTTTTTCCCTGCTGCTGAATTGGCTCCTGTTGCCTTTGATGTGGCTGGTGATCCGATGTCCTGCCATGGCCAGACAAGTGATCAGTTTGCCAGCGCCCAGAGCAGACAGAATCAGGTTGCTGCGGGGTCAGGGTTTGCTTTTCTCCTTAAACACTGAAAGGTCAGGCAGAGTTTAACTACCACTGGCATCTTTGAAACCTTGTAATAAATGCCAAAGCAGGGAGATTATTTTTAAGTCCGTGCTACAACTAAAAATCTGAAGGTAACAGGGAAGAATTCTAACTCATCAGGATGTTACATTTATTGGTAAATACTTCAAAAAGTACCTTGTACAATCACTAGGGGGTATTTCATGATCTTTGAAGAGATGAAAAATTTAAATATCTGGTTCCTGTGCCAGTTTTAGGGAAGTAACTAAGATTGAGAGTATGTGTGTGTTCTATTTAGCTTTTTAAAGTGTTATTTTTTGTAGTGTTTTTCTTTTTTATTTACATCTGAGCGCTTGCACCACTTACTGTCACTATTAGCAGGGCAATTTACACAGTGTGTCATACAGTACTTCAGTATTTCTCCTTTAAGCTTAATAAAATATGTTGCTATTGAAGAAATCTGTGATACATATGAGAGCTTCTTAAATCACAGGACTAGCGTATTTTTGTACCAAATAGCTCCAGCCTCATGAAATCAATAATTAATTTATTAACTGGATCTCTTTTATAAAAAAAACCCAACAAAATCAGCAGTCCTGGTGAGGCTGCCTCCTGCCAATTCATAAATAGTTGATGACAAAAATGAAAAAGTGTAGAAGTAAAATTCAAATCTTAACGATCAAAGTATTGGGTACCTCATCTATCACAGCTTGGAATAAACATATCACAGAAAGTGTCATATCTCATTGACACTGCAAAACATAATGCTTTCCCTTGTTATCTAGCGAGCTGCCAAGGCTACAGAGTTTATAGGCTGCTAAGATAATGTGCTGCTGGTAATCCACTTCACTTGCAGAAATATGAAGTACTGTTGAAATATATTTCTACTTGGTTTATTCTTTGCTCTCCAGAGGGTAGGATGCTATTTCAGTTCCTCTAAAGAACCTCAGAGAATGAAAAGCAAAACATCAGGATAAATTATGCTAAATGGTGGACTAGACCCCAGAGGAAATCATGCTTCTGTGGTACAGTATTCCTCCATTTATCTTGCAAATGTTACATCTAATGTTAATTTTGTAAAGGGAAAGCATTCAAAGGTTCATCTGATCCTTTTAATAATAGTTTTAGTGCTATAGTGTTATTTGTCAAACTCCTGCCATCATAACTAACTTGCCTAGTTTTGGCAGACCGTTCATACAGAAAATATTTTGGGCTACTAATACATAACATTTTATTTCACAAAACACAAATAACCTAGTAATTACACTCCAAAACTTAACAAATAATTGCCAGCAAGCAATTACCATTCAATTAAAGAGTAATTACATGGTTATTTGTGCCCTGTAAAATAAAGCATTACTGAAATCAGTAGCGCAATCAATATTTTAGCAGAAACAGGATGCTGCAGTGATGGACCTTTCAACCTGTGCTGATTAAATTGTCATCCAAATAACAGTTTCCTAGTTAAATCACCACATGTTTATTTGTCTTGATTAATATGCAAATTCTCTTCTGATTCTAGTAAATCTCCTATATTTAAAAGCACAAAAGTAGAGCACTATCATACATCAGCGGTGATGCGCTGCATATTTCCACTGATTAATTACATTTTAAAAAGCATTGATGAATTTGTGGATTTTATGAAATACAGTTATCTATAATGAGCATAAAATAGAGTTACAAAAGATGGAGGTGATAAATAACTTTAAGAAAATCACAAAAATAAAATATTTTTTAATGTATTGATTCAAATTAAAAATCTTTATGATATCAAGGGAATATATAAAACTTAGAAAGAAAAAAATAATAAAATTAGCTTTCAACAGAAGTGGAAAATAAAGAAAGAGACATTAATGAACAATTTCTCAGCATTTTACTGTATAATTTCAACTGTCAGTTATACTGCTCAAAATGTAATTTATTTTTTGACAAATCTAATTTCAACCCAAATTTAAAAGATGAACATTCAGATTAGTTCATTTTTCTCTTTCAAGAGTTAGTGATTTTGTGGGGCTGGTGTGGAGAGGATGACAGTAATGACTTTATAACCATGGTGCAAATACAGGTAAAAACCCAAAACCTCCACCCGTCCTCACTTTCAAGTAGTTGGTGACCCAAGGAGTTTTTAGGTTTGAGAAATGCCAATCGAATGTTAATCACTGGAGACTTTATTTAGTAAAAAGAATGAGTTTCTGGAAGTTATACATGGGAAGCAATATTTTATTTTGGTTTTAGCCTCCATGGTCTTCACTTGGGACCATAATTTTTGTTTTTTAAAAAAGTTTTTAAAAGATACCCGTAAACTAGAAGTTTCTGACTGAATTAATATCTAATTTAGATTTGAGTAGTTTTCCATTTACAGAGATCTATTGATGGCAAGCACAAAATTTTGTGTAGAGATTGTAGACTCAAAGAAATGCATTTAAAATTGTTTGAAGGTGATTGTTCCTGTTTATACTTCCTTTGTTACCAACAAGGAAAAGATTTTTCTACACTTCTTGAATATGTGACTTTCTTGAATGAGAGAAAGGAAAACGTGAAAAGAAAATGCAGTAAAAGAGCAGAGTGACAAAAAGATGAGCAATAATATTAAATAAAGTTAATATTTATATGCTAATGCTATTAGCATTTATATGCTAATACTTCATAATCACAGATTATGTCTTACTCTCTCCAAATGATAATTCTGCTTGCCTTGGGTTTACTGTTCAGTGCTTTTATTATCCATTTTGGCTGAATTGTGGAGGTTGCATATGTTTTAAATAGTAAAGGTGAAATTTGGTGGATTTCTAGAGCATGTGGGACAGTAAGAGGGGATTTTGGGGGGAGTGTTGAGACACAGAGCCGTGACCAGCGCATTCACAACAGAAAGTAAATCCCATAAAAACCTTAAATCTACTGGTCCTTTGTGCATACCTTACCAAAAAACCCAAGACTGAGCAAACATTTGTATCCTGTCTCTGTGAAATTCCTGGTGTCATGCTTAAAGAGAAATGCCAGAAATTTTGTTTCTGGCCCAAAGTGGAAGCGTTTGGACTCAGATAGGTCATTTCTGTGAGTTCTGGTGTCCTCCCAAGCTAAAGCTGTTGATTCCTGATGGCTGACACATCTCTGGGAATATCCAGGGAATCCAGCTGGAATTTTGAGGTGTCTGCTGCAGTGCTGGGGGCTCTGGGATTCCTGTCCTTGGAAGCAGACACAGGGACTGGGAACTGCAGAATTCAGCATTACAGACCCAAACGGGTCCTTGCAGGTGTGTCGCAGTCAGCTGGGAGCAGCGTCCAGTTCTTCACTTAAAAGCTGAGATTAAATTAGAGACAAAGCACTTGGGTTTTATTTGAACAGATTCAGCTGGGAACAGTTCCTTTCATATTATCATGGCTACAGCTGTCAGCCCCAAATCTGGGCCCTAGGAGTTAGTGATTTACAGGAATACTCACTAAAAGGGCTTTCAGTCAAGGCTTTTTTCACTTCTTGTTCTTCAGCCCATCAGACTCCTTCCCCAGAAGGACCCCAATCCCAGACACCAAGTGCTGTGTTTTCCAAGTGGAACTGTCCTTGGCTGTGTGAGGAAGGATGTAGATACAGCCAGCAGTGCCTGGAAGGGAATGGAAGAAGTTTTTGATGTGAACTTCTCCTCCTTCATCTCTTGGGCTTCCATGTGGGTCAGTGCTCAGGCACAGGTGTCACATTAAGGTGTGGAAACACCTTAAGCTGTGCTCAGAGCCATCAATGTGAGCTTCTGTCAGGGCAAAAACTGCAGAACCAGGGCTGGAGCTCCACAGTCTCCCCTCCTCATTCTCTGAAAACACAAATCATGACTAAAAAGTCTCTTTGTAAAATCTTCTAAAGCTGTTTGTTGCCTTTTGAAAATGTTTTTCTTAGATTAATACCAACATACGGAGTTTTCTGCAAGAGATTTGTTAGTATTTGAGCTCGGGAAGAAAATGTTTTGTTGTTTTGTTGATTGAGCTCTTCCACTGGCGAGAGCTGCTAATTTTAGCAGGTTTGTAGGGTTTTTTTCTGAGACAGTAAGTGCCAGCTAAGCACTTACACATGCCTGTGGATTACAGGCTCCTGTAATTCAATAGACCAACGATTCCTATTTGTTCAAAACACCCATGTTTCAGCCTAACTCTGTCTGTTAGAAATTTTGTTGTGCAGGACGTGTTTTCAGCAGGTGATTTTAATAGAGAACGCATGTGTGCATCAAACTTCCCCTGGAAATCAAATGCTGTTATTTTAGGTTTACATTATTACAGCCCACTGGCTCTTGTAGCAAGCTTTACTGCACAGCCATCATAGTATGATAAACAACTGAAAGCATCAAAAAGAAAAATGGAAAAAATACTGAATAAAATGAAATTCAAAATGGACAAACCCGAAGCTAAAAAGAGGGGGGAATGGTTTTATAGAGATAAAATAGTAAACCAAAAAAATGATTTTGTGCTGCTTTGATGTACAGTAAAACAAAATAACACTAGCATGGTGTGAAAAATGAACAGGTTAATGGTACCTCTGTGGAGTGCTGCTGGAAGTTGTCTTCATTTAAATGCAGAGTTTGTCGTGCATTGATGGAGGGCTTTGCCACTGTAACTTGATAGAGTGAAGTTTAACTTAAATTTCTTTGTGAACTAGAAGTCATTTTGGAAATGCTTTCTATTCAAACCTCATTCATTGTTGCAGCTTAGTTATTTTATACAGTGTTTCACTCTATGTTGTCAAAAGCTCTATTATTCAACAGAGTAAAATCTCTTATGACCAAAGAGAAGCAGCAATACTTTTCCAAACACGAGGAAGTTGCATTTTTATTAGATGTCTTGAGGAAGAGTCGATTCCAATGGTTTTTTGGCCTGTAAATCTGTGTTATGATGGCAGTGGAGGATGGGGACATGTACACACGCTGATGTAAGGGCTGAGGGTTATAGCTGAGAACAAGAGTTCAGTG